TCTGAGATATATATATATATATATATATATATATATATATATATGCTGATCCTCATTTTGTGAGATTAATTATCCGATAATTGGATAATTAATATAATAAGCGAGTTTGAAATTAGAAATTTGATTCATTACAGCCCAATCCTCCGTTCGCCTGCCGTTATTATGCCACAATTTTGTTAGAAGTATGGAACACCTTTTAATCAGCACGTAGAATTAAAAGGCAAATTTTGTAATTACATTATTATACATATAAATAATTCAACAATTATACAACTCACTAGAAGTTTAGTGTGGCCTTTTCAGAACGCCAGCCACTCCGGTTTATCGCGAGCTGTTAAAGGTGCTCCGTACTTCAGTCCAATTTCAGTCGCAGCACTTACGCATCTCGCCCTGATGCAGATCGGCGATCAGCTCAGGGCACGAACTGTTGCAGGGATTTATAGGAGTGAGACGCAACTGAGTCGCGCCACGAAGCTGAGCGAGAGCGATTAGACCAGAGTCGAGCTCGACCTTCTTGTAGCTCGGGCTATTGTAATCCGAAGACATGAGCACCCAGTTGAAATGCGCCGGCGAGACTGTGCTGGAGAGGAAGTACGGTCGTTGATAGTACTTTCTAAGCACCTTCACAGCGTTGATGTCACAGTTCTGCCAATGGACAAACCACTTAGCAACCTCAGGAGCGTGCACGCGTCGAAGAAATGCCGCAAGATCGGACGAACCAGTACGCAGATTCGAGGTCAGGGCGCAGGGTACCGTCTCCATCAGCCGCTCGTTCTCCAAGTAGAGCTGTTTGCGTCGAAAAATAATGTTTCTTCACATGGGATCGTCTTTGCAAATATCACTGATTCTTTGTTATGGCAATTTTGTCTTCGAAGAGAATTCAACTTTCGATAAGTGAAAGTTATCTACATTTTTTTCTTCAATTTAATTCCTGAAGAAGTTAAGCATTTATAATAATAAGGCAACAAAATTCATCTATTACTCACATGGGTGATATTATCAAACCAGAAGTAATCTGTATTCATGACTGCCCATGAGTCCATTGCGTCGGTGATGATGGCTGGTGCATCGCGATTCAGGTAATTATCAACCAGATTACGATACCGAACGTCCGATAAACGATCAATCGTCTCCAACGCCTCGCAGGTCTACAAGAAAGTTCTCTGTCAATTATTCAAGCGTGAATCTTAGCTATCTTAGATATATTTCTTCATAAAATATTACATCTCAAAAACCGCAATAGAATCTCTTTCCCAAATGTAAAGATTGATTTTTCTTATTCTGAAAATACGAAGCGTACCACGCAATCCTCTTCCGTGATAGTGTAATCATTGTAAAAGGGGTTGTTGATCATGCAGTTTTCGTAATAAAGAGGCTGCCAATTCCAGATCGGCAAAACTTTTATCAGCAACAGACGGCTGAGGGCGGTGAAATGAGTACCAACGAAGTCCAACTGAGCTGCAAGACACGCCAGTGTACCCAATACTATCAGCACCAGAGTGCCACGACAGACGAGTTGCAACCATGAGCGACGCATCGCTGCTACGAGCGGCTGGCATATAATGTCCATTTCCTCTTCAGTGAAGCCCGCCTGTTGGCAGTATCTGTGAAAAAATTTTGGATACAATAACAGCCTTTCTCTTTATTATCTTTAGTAATAAAAAAAAGATCTCTATCGTGCATAATTATAGAAATAATTTTTCTTCATAAATCTTTTTTTTTATAAAAATAATTATAATAATGATTTGGAAAAATATCTCTACTTGCTTACACATAATTTTGGAATTATTGTTACTGATGCAAATTTTTTTATTTCTTTTTACTTAGGTGATAAGAGCGCAATGAAAGTATAAAACAAAAATCTAATACGACTTCACGAATAGTTCCACGCATATCAAGAGTGATTCGTTACTTGTAAAAGGAATTCAGTTCATCATCAATCAGCCTTAGCTTCTCGGAGTGCGTCATCTCATGCTGTTCCTTGGTGTACGCCTTACGCGGCTGTTTCACGCATTTGCTGCTCGACATCTTGATAGACTTGTTGTTTCACCGACGTGCAAGAATAGTATCACTCTTCTCTTGCAGAAACGCAATATCCAGGATCCGCGTCAGGATTGGAACGGGCTCGTCGCTATCGAACCGCGACCGTGCATGCGCGCGTTTGTGTCTGCCTACACGATATATTGATCGACACCGTCGGCGCATGGACGGCGCGAAAACCGAGATAGATTTTCGCCATTTTCGGAATTTTTTATCGAATCTTTATCTTTTATGCTTTGGTAAGCGACGGATTTGGGCAGGCGCTTTTTATGTAAAAACCGATCTTATTGAAGCTACATTTTTATGAAATATGAAAGGAAAATCACGTCAGTAGAAAATTTACATAAAATCTAATTGATTTTAAAGTAATATTTTATTATAGAGTTTGATAATTAAATGATTATTTTTATCATCGTATAATTTTATACGTATTTCAGAAAATCTTTTTTTCATATTAAAACATTCGATTGAATAATAGGCCAATTAAAATGTATTTCGAATGCATTCGAATGTATTTTTTTATTATACAATATATTATTATATATATATTTTTTCAAATTTGATTGTGAACAATACTTGTGGTATTTGCTCATTCATAATCTCAAAAATTTCTCGGTACTGTCTTCGATACTCTAAATTTATTTCTGTACGTCAATTTTATCGGCTGGCGATAGGTAGATTCCATAACGATCTGCGACTGGTCTATACGGTCTGGCTTGTTATAACGTAAACTGTAGCACAGTAGTAAACAGACAGAAACAAAGGCTGTAATCGAAATCTCACTACAAATACTGTGAAGCATTTGATGGACCAATTAGAAGAAAGAATTTGACAAACTGGCAAGGAACATATAAAAACTCTGCTAATTATAATAATCTGCTGCAATTAAAAATAATATTATATACACATATAAAATATCACAGATAAATATACATGAATATATCGTACCGTGTGCAATTGTTTGTGCTCTCTCGGATCAAAGTCCGAAGGTTTGATTTATAACAATTCCATAAATCGAACGTCAACGATAGTACGAAAAACAATGGCAATGCAATGCTTGAGATTATTTGGTGAGTAGCAAGTATTTTCTAATATTACGGGCAATAGAGATTATTATTTTAAATATTGATTGCAGTAAATAATGTGCCTAGAAGTGCATGCACTGTCAGTGTCAACCGACACATTACCTCGCATTCTATGCTGCCAGACACACATAAAATGTTGTATCAAACATGCAGGTATTTTATAATATTATGTAGGCAATATATATATATATATATATATATATATATATATAAATTACACCTCTATCTACTTTGCGTAGATATAATTAAATACTAAATAAAGTTTAGCATCGCTATTATTAAAAATTTGTAATTACAGAGATTTCGCCGAGGAGGAATTAAAACCTATCGCAGCAGAGACTGATAAAAAACATCTTTTTCCAAAGGAGCAGATCAAGAAGATGGGCGAGCTAGGTCTCATGGGTTTATGCATGCCTGAAGCATTAGATGGAACAGGACTGGATTACCTGGCCTATGCTATAGCTACGGAAGAGATCTCTAGAGGTTGTGCAAGTGCTGGAGTTATAATGAGTGTACAAAATTCTCTCTACTTAGGCCCTATAGATGTATTCGGAACTGATAAGCAAAAAGAAAAATACATCGTTCCCTATGTGAACGGTGAGAAAATTGGCTGTTTTGCTCTCAGTGAACCAGGTAATGGATCTGATGCTGGTGCGGCGTCTACCACTGCCAAAGTCAATGGCAGCGTTTATACGATTAACGGCACCAAGTCGTGGATAACAAATGCGTTTGAAGCCAGTGCCATAATTCTCTTTGCGACGACTGACAAGTCCAAGAAGCATAAAGGTATAAGCGCTATCATAATGGACAGTCCGACAGCAGGTCTGAGCTTGGGTAAGAAAGAGGACAAATTGGGTATACGAGGAAGCAGCACTTGCTCTTTAATCTTCGAGGACTGTGAAGTACCACAAGATAACATTTTAGGCAAACCAGGAATGGGCTTTAAAATCGCAATGATGACTCTAGGTATGTGACAATCATGTAGATTTTTACAAGTAATTATTATTCAAATATAATGTAATATTCTCTCTGTAGATGCTGGCAGAATAGGAATTGCTGCACAAGCATTGGGCATAGCTCAAGCATCCTTGGATTGCGCGATGGATTATGCATCCAAACGCCAAGCTTTCGGCCAGTCGATCATCAAGCTGCAAGCGATTCAACAAAAAATCGCTGATATGGCTCTAAAATTGGAAAGTTCAAGACTGTTGACGTGGCGAGCGGCTCAGCTTAAGGATAATGGTAAACCGTACACAAAGGTGCGTTATAAATATTTGGGAGATAAATATTAATTCATTTTAGTAAAATATTCACTTTGGATAATACGGCCGAATTTTCTCTGGATTCTTATCTTATCACATATATAATATTTAAAATTTTAATCTTATCCTATATATATTTTTCTATTGATTACATTTTATGTATCTTATCAGACAAGGTATACGCGCTTCTATGAATGCATAGAAAAAAATTTTTAAGTAGTCACGGCATATATAAGCTTTAATCGATTTAATCATCAACAGATCAAAGCAATAAAATCATTTTAAACGAGAAAAAATAAGGTAATTTTTAGGGAATGAACAGATCTTTCGAGTATAAGATCTCAAGTAGAAGATCTAATGAGTGCCAGTTTGCAGATGTAAAAATTTATATCAATGTCTGGTTTTTGCCAAACTCTTGTGTCCATCTGTTTTACATTCTCCTCAGTTATAAACCAAGAGTCCAAAGTTAATATCACGATACAAGTACATTTTTGCACATCTGCGATCTAGCTCTCTCGTTGATTCTTGATCTACTGTCAAAATAATTTCTTATTTGCTAGGAAGCCGCTATGGCCAAATTGTCAGCATCGGAAACCGCCACATTCTGCGCTCATCAGTGCTTACAGATTCTGGGGGGGATGGGATACGTATCGGATATGCCGGCGGAACGTCATTACAGGGATGCGCGTATCACGGAGATTTATGAAGGCACATCGGAGATCCAGAGACTTGTGATCGCTGCAAATCTCATCAAAGAGTACGGCCTCAATTGAGATCGCACGACTGACTCACGTAAGAGATAATTCTTCAGTATCTTTCTTTTATATATATATCCAAAGAGAGAACGAAATATATTTTGTACGTATTGCATCTAATATTAGATTTTGTATATATATATATATATATTAATTATATTTTTATATGGAGAGAAAAGTCGAAAAATAAATTTCATATGCTATGCCTTCTAATTTTATTAACTCTTGGCTAAATATTTGACTGGATCGAGAGACATACGCACATACGCGCACACACATACACATACACTTACGCATATACGTATGTATGCAAGAAAATAAAACGCATATACACGTGCATATATACATATATACACATACACTGGTATTTCACTATTAGCCCTTTGGCAGCGATACGGAATTTTTTCCTTTCCTCTTTTTTTTCTATCTATCCACGATTTTTTTTCTACCCTGCTTGTACATCTAGAGCAGCTAGAGCCAATCTATTTAAATAACTATCGTAGGATAACAAGTGTAATGTAAACCGCGTACATGTGTGAAACTTTCATATTTAACAAAACGAACGACATAGTCGTGGAACAAAGGCGGACTCCATTGAAGTTACGAGCTTGTTTGAACGACACAGATGTGCCTTATTTCGATCGGTTTTCCTTCGATAAAATGGTGAATAAATACGTGCCCATGTTTCTCTGTTTTCTCGTATGTGTCTGATACATTGAGTACAAATACTATGTGCACGTCGCACTACCACTGTTCGTACATGAATACGAAGATAAAAGCTACCTTAGACTACATGCCTTCCAACGAGAAAATACAGAGAATACATTTACTTTGTGCAAATGACAGTTAAATTATATACTTCTCGTTACTGTTTTTCAATCTTTAATCGTATATTTAATTATAGATCCTATCACTAGGTGAGAATGCTGCTGCGAGTTCAACCCATTAAAAGACTTTACTCTCATTTAATTCTAAGAATCAATTCAGTTTAATTAAAAATTAATGTAATCATTTCCAAAATAAACTTTAAAATATCTCGAGTATATATCGAGCTTTGCTTTTATTATGAATGAGATAGTTACAAAATTATCTTTTTTTGGTTACGATATTTTTTTCTCACATAATATACTGAAGAAAAATTTTAAATTTAAGGATGATCATAATAGTCTGTAACAGGTTACGAGCAGCGTTCTAGAATACTTTGTCGGTTGTACTAAGAGATCCATTGGAATGCAAAAGAAACATTTATATATATATAATTTGAATTTCATTGTGTATGCCTCTTTCTTTTTATATATATATACAATAACGCACTCTTTCGCCGTCCACCCGCTGTCACCAATATTGAAATAGCCTAAACTCTGCTTCTCTACATATGTGTGTATATGTATATCAGTGTGAGCTTTACATAGAATGCATCATCTCCTCGTCCTCAGTAAATAATTTAGAGTGTAATATGTTAATAACATTATTGTTAGCATCGCAGTATAATTAAAAAATCCATCAGTTTGGTCCTAACTCTTTAGGGAATAGGTACATATACACGTCTCACACTCGTCGATAACAAACATAATGAAAGAATAGAGGAACATTATAGATTGAGATCTACCGTAGTACCTTGTCTCGTGGAATCGTAGAGGGATCCCATGAAATAACTATAGATATACATTTAAAATCCTTAGAATTTTTCAAATCGATCCTCCTGATCACATATACACTTTCGTAGAATTGAGAAAATACTCTCGAGCTTTCTTTCGAAAATACACAATCTAATACATCACACTTTCGGTTGAAATAATAGTTCGAGATACAGATCATTAATATGCAACATTTAGATTTTCAATTGTACATTAATATATTAAACTGTGGAATTTTTTAACTATTAAACTACGATCAAACTTGCGAAATTGTTAAATCACATTATTTCCTTTGTTTTTTTTTCTTTATGTACTTTGTAGCAAGCATTTTGTCGATCATTAATTGAACTTCAATATCTATTATTATCGAACTACGAACTGCTGTTAAGTAATCATAACGTTTTTATCTATGGTGGTTTTCAAGAAACCAGATTCTTTTCATAATTATGCATTAAACAAGAGAACCAGAAGATTTTCTGATTCCTTCCATTTCTTTTTCTTTTATAATAACTACATTATAATCTTTGACTGTAGATACATTTATCTAAAACGCTTGTAAATGTAAAATAAATTAAAATTGTAAGTAATTTATAATAGACACTGAATCTAGACACGTAAATTCCAGAAATCGTTCGAATCCTGTGGAATCGTCTATGACAGAGCGTAACAGGGTGTACATCTGTAGGTATGCATCTGTATTTGTGTTGACATGTATAAGGAAATTGATTTAACCGTTCATAATAGAAGCTATCGAAGCCTCAATCATCAGCTCGCATACCCCGTACTTCACCTTGATGTCTTTGCTGCAATTGAACATAAAAAACATTTCAAAAACGGATGAAATTTCTGACTTCTAAAACAAATATAGAAGATAAAACGCGTAAAACAAGATTTAATTAACCTTCCAGCGGACGCGTCAGTATATAGAGAACACCACAGAATAAGACTGAAAGTTCGAAAGAGTAAAGCATATCGTCAAATAAATATTATGCGAAAGTTTATAATATTTAAATGACCATTTAATTAAAAAAATAAATGTTACCTTTTATTAGAAAATGGATTAATAAAAAAGTCTTATTTGTATTCTAATTAGTCGTATTATAATTATTGTCGTCGAATGTTTTTTAAAGTAAAATGAAAACATTTGTTGCATTTGAGGACGGTGGTTGTATTTTTGCACAACTTGCACTTCTCTCGCTTTTCACTCCCATTGAGCGATTCCTGTGTGTATCCTCTAGGAACAAATTTGCCCGGAATTTTCTGAAAAAATGCCCTGATATCTTAAAAATCGATTCTACGTAAACAACATATACTAACGGAATGTGACCTGAACGAATCGACGGCCTGAAAGATACTGAAGGAATATCTTGGAAATTCGAGACTCAAAAAATAGATTTTACTTGTATTTCCTCCATAAGACTGGCACGGAGAACACGCGTGGGCCCGCTGGAAGGTTAAAAACTGAAGAATTGAAAAAAAGCAAAATTCTTCTTACCCTATCTAATTCTTCTTTCGTATTGTCTTCGATTGCTCTAATATCCTCCATGGTTAAACCATACCAACCATCTATCCAGCAGAACACTTGCCTATGGAAATTGGTAAACAGGCGCCGTTCCGCCTTTTGAATGAATCCTTCGATGCGGGTCTGCAGACCGAACCATTTGAATTCACAAGTGACTAGCTTGTAGCACGTCATCACAGGTTGAACATTATGCTTCCAGTCTTTCCCAACGAGAGGACCCCGTCCTGTCTTCTGGGACTTGAATTTAGATGGATCTTCATCCACCTTGTAATCGGCACTTGCAATCGGATCGTTGGCAATATCTATATGCACTATTTCTCTGATCTTAAGCTTATCGGGCGGCAATTCGTGAACCTGTTCGTAAGAAGGAAATACGTAAATAACTAAAAATACTTGCCAAACTCGATGATACTTACATTATGCTGATTGCCGACATCGCCAATATGAAAGGACTCTATCATAATTACGAAATTATCCTTCATATACCCTGGATTCTATGGAAAAATCAAAGTAACATTTATGAATATATTTAAACTTAATATCTTGTATATGTGAATAAATATATGCGCAACTTACAGTTATGACTGTCTTACAATAAGGATAAGCGTTCCAAGCCTCTTCATGGATTTCTAGCGAGTTCTTTGGCAGTAAAATGCGAATAAAAGCAGGCACTTTACTAGCTAAATGATAAATCTTATATGTATATTGGCCTGATGAGTACTTTCCACCGAGTAACGGATAATCCGTAAACGGCTCATTCTTCAATACTTCAATGCCTTCTCCACCGCCTGTATTATTTTTACTAGCCTCTGCTACAGAATACAGTTGAGCTACTTGATACTGTTAAGGAGAAAAATATATATATAAATTCTTAATAACATTCAAGGTAGGTTAAAGTCGTTATATAATTTATATTATGAGATATAATTTATATATGTACTTTGACTTGTTTTTGTGAGAACCATTCATTTATTAATTCTTTTGGTTTGAGTTTCTTTTCATTCATTAACACAAGAAAAAAAGACAAAAGGATTTAAAGTCCATCATGGAATGTGAATCTATTTCTAGAATTGACTTGAAATAAAATGATAATCATACTATTATTAAGGTATATCTCTCTTAGACATCACTTTATTATATACTCTGAGACAAATAGATAATGAATAGAAAAATAGAAACAATATTTTGAACAGCAACAGATAATAATAAAATAATAGATAATAATAAAGAAACTTATGTGTTAGTGTAATAAAATAGGCTTCTAATTACAAATTCAGCATTGTTTATGCAAGATAACTCTACATAAGTACTCAGATAGGCATGTGTGCCATGCGGAGGATAATTAGATGATTGGCGAATTTTCTTGATTGCACGGCAATGTTAAGATTAATTTCAACTGTCTGTTTTTGCAATCTAACATCCAGGCAGGTCTCAAATTGAGTCATTATGAGGAGCGGGACTCCTGCGACAGATCAGACACGTACCTCTTCCACTGTGAGGGGCAGAGTGACACGGCTGTAACAGACAAATAATGAATTATGTCAGCGTTATATATCGAAAGGCAAGGAGACGAAGAAAATCAACGGATAACGTAATCGTGTCCTTGAGTCACAGGATGGAGAGGGGACGCGTTGCCGCAAAATGCACGTATCAGCCGGCCGATCTTAATTACATGAGAAATCAAAGTTGATCAATAAATTTGTGAGATTTATGATCGAACAATCCGCATCGTACGTGGTCGTCGCCGAAGAAGTCTAAGGTCAACCGAGATTCTCTGCAAAGCTGCACTTTTATCACACTTCCCGCTGTTGATCAGAAATCATCGTATACT